CGATCCCCCGGGCCCGCCCTGGCCCCCCGGCCCCGCCGGGGAGGGGGGATCCTGTAGCCGCTCGCAGCCAGGGGCCGCCTTCTGCTCTCCTCCTCCTCCTGTGCGCAAAGGGGGGAGAGGAGGGCGACAGAAAGTTTGCGAGGGCACCGGAGCTGAACCCGAGTCCTCCCCTCCACCTTCTCCCCGCGCCCCGTGAGCTGCCCGGGCGCTGCGCTCAGCTCCGCTCTCCCAGCTCTGCGCGCAGCTGGTAAGTGCTGTTCCTCGCAGCCAGGGGCCGCCTTCTGCTCTCCTCCTCCTCCTGTGCGCAAAGGGGGGAGAGGAGGGCGACAGAAAGTTTGCGAGGGCACCGGAGCTGAACCCGAGTCCTCCCCTCCACCTTCTCCCCGCGCCCCGTGAGCTGCCCGGGCGCTGCGCTCAGCTCCGCTCTCCCAGCTCTGCGCGCAGCTGGTAAGTGCTGTTCCGCCCTGGCGCCGCGGGCCTGGCAGAGCGGGAAGAGGCCACAAGGCCGTGCCCGGCAGAAACACCCGGTGCCCTAGAGCCAGGCCGCTGCCTGCAGAGACCCCTCTCCCCCATGACATAACCTCTTTTCCCCCAGGCGCCAGCTGTCGAGCCCTGACTGTGCGCCACCCCGGGGTGTGCTCTCCCCTGCCCGAGCCCTACCTGTCTCGGGAGCCTCGGGATCGCCCTTGTCCTCCAGCTTCTGGGGCTCATCCTCGTCGTTTTTCTCCAGGTCAATGTTCTCCTCTTCTTCCTCGTCCTCGCTCCGGTTCCGGGGGGTCCAGGTCATTTTATTCTCCTTCTTGAGCCGCCGCCGGGCGTTGGCGAACCAGGTGGAGACCTGGGTGAGGGTCATTTTGGTGATGATGGCCAGCATGATCTTCTCGCCCTTGGTGGGGTAGGGGTTCTTGCGGTGCTCGTTCAGCCAGGCCTTCAGCGTGGCGGTGGCGTCCCTGGTGGCGTTTTTTCGGTAAGCTGGGTCGCCATAGGGGTAGGAGCCCAGGGGCGCGGCGTAGGGATGGTACCCCAGAGACCCGGCCATGCCTGGTGTGTGGTCGTAGGGTGAACCCTGGAGAGGGGGGGAAGCGGACACAAAGCAAACAGTGAAATCGCCAGTAAGGGAGCAGCGCAACTGTCCCAGCACAAGCAACCGTGACCCAAGAGCAACAAAATGAGGAAAGAGCCCGGCCAGTTAGCCACGCTCCCCCCACCCTCCGAAGCAAAGTTTAGAAAATGGGGCCATCCCCGAGGCTTTGCCTGTGTGGGAGCACTCAGGCCGGGGTTGCCCCGCTGGCTGAATGAAGCAGAAGGGGAAAGGGCCTAGAACTTTTTTGGGTTCATGCGCCTGTGCGTGTAACAGACACACAAAGGCGACGGAGCCCAGCTGTTCTGTCCCATCTTCACACGCTCGTCCACAGGGCAGAACTGTGAGGGGGCAGAGACTGGTCTTCAGTCCCTTCCCCCAGCCATAACTACGTTTGTGACTTGTGAAGAAACGCGAACCTGACAATCCATTTCTGCGCTGACATATTATTGTGCTAAGCAGCAACAAATTGCTTTCCCCACTGTCTAATTGAACATAACCTCTCACACAACCACCGCACCAGGACATGCCCTTCTGCAATGGAGCCCCTGGCTTTAAAAGAGAAAGCGGGGAAACTCCGCTAAACTCTGCCGAAATCCACGCTGGGTGGGTGAGGATGGGCCACTGTTAATTTTCGAAAGGGCTGCAGGGGTTTTCGCTGCAGTCAGAGACTTGGATTTGGCGAGAAAGAAAAGCAAGTTAGTCTAGTTTGTTTTTCTAACAACTACAAAAATAATACCAGCTCTCCCTTCCCCCAAATAAACACTGCTTTTCTGCTGCGGTAATAATGTTTGAAACCAGAAAAAAAAAGCAAATGGCCACGCCGTGTCATTTTTGGTTATTAATGCTTCCAAAGCGGATTGCAGAGATGGGATTACGGCTTTGCAGTATTTGGGAAGCCTAATTAAAGTCGTGCAGAAGGCACTTGCATATGCTTGTCAGCCTGATTCCGAGACTGGTTGATTTAGTTTATTTTTTTACAATTACAAATATTTAGGGGCGGTGTCACACCGATGTTTTTTCCCAACACAGCACTAAAAGATTGGCTTTGACCTGGCTGCTTGGTTCGTGGTTCCGCTGGCAAAGCCCTTAATTGGAAACACAGGATTTGTATTAATTGTCACTCTCCTGCTTCTTTGCTATCGCCCCGCAGCCCACCCTGCCCAGAGGCACTTTAGGGTTCGCCGCGCTGGGTGCAAATCCCCAACAAAGTTGCGAGGGGGATGCTAGCAACCTGCTTCCCGTCCCCCTGGCTCCGCAGCGCTGCCCAGACGAGCACAAAACATCCCCGCTGGAGCGCGGGCGGGCGGGCTGGCCCGGGTGGCCGCGGATCATTGTTGCTCTTACCACGTAGGAAGAGAAGGCGGCGGCGGCGGGGTACTGGAGGTGGGAGTTGTAACCCGGCGACGGGGCGGTAAAGGCGGTAGATCCGGCATAAGGCGAAAAAGCGGAGCCCGAGGAAGATCTCCCAAGTTCATCGGTCCTGGGGCCCGAAATGACGCTGGTGCTGTACGCCGGGCACGAGTAGAGAGCCAAGGACGCGGAGGGCTGGTACAAGTAACCCTGAGGATACGACATGGCCAAGCACATACATATACACGGGCAGCGAAATAGCCGGGAGCTGCCGCTGGCTCGGATTTGTCTAGGCTACTTCTGTCCAGAGCCCCTCCAGCCCTGTGGCCAGGTGGGGCGGCTGGCGGCTTAGCAGCAGCCCAGCACCTTGCTTCTGCTTCTCTGCTGCCGCCGCGGAACTCCCCTGTGCGGCGCCTGCTGCTCGCTAGCTGCCTGGGCTCTCCCCCTGCGCACGGAGGGGCTTTTCCCCCAATATCTCTGCTTCGGGCTCTGAGAAAGGTCCTGCCAAGATGCTAAGTTGGAAATTGAGGATTCTGACGCCTTCTCCGCGGCGCGGGCAAGCTCCTCCTTCCCCGGGTGTTGTCAGTGGAAGAAATGGCAGGATCCTGCGGGGCTTGCCACAACCAAACCCAACCAGCAGGACAGCCAAGTGCGCCGGCCCCTGGATGGCAATCAAATCCAAGCCATTTAAGATCAGCTCCAACTTTCTTCATTTGCTAAATACTGTGTGGACTTGGAGGCATCACATTTTCCCCTTGATTTATGGCCGGGCTGCACTGGAATGCAAGCCAATCAGTTTATGAAAAAATATATATTTAATAAGATTTATTCTCCATTCTTCCCCCCCTTACACTCTGCCCCCAGTCCCTTCCTCCTTTCCTCTCCCTCCCCCAACCACGCTATAATTTGATCCGATCCCTTAAAAGGGAGAGGGAAGGTGGAGATGTGAAATAGACTTTCAATTTTAAAAAAAGGAAAAAAATCTATTTTCAACGGGAAAATTATGGTGAGCTGCTAGGACGGGGAGACTTAAAATATGGCAACGCGTTATGAATAGAGGCTCCCACTCCCGGCTGGTGTGTGTGTATGTATGTGCGTACACACACACACAATATGTAATAGAATCTGATTTATATTTGTCTTCCCCACAGTTTAAAAACGCGTTCAGGCCAGGAGGCTATTTACTTATTTCACCGCTGTCAGAGAACTGGCCTCGGACAAGGTACCTGTTGCGATTTTAAGAGAAATGTGAAATGCTGTCCGGATTTGCAACCCCAAATGTTGCCCTCACCTCCCTCCCTTCCAGAGATAAGAGCGAACCGGGGGGTATTTGCAAATACGATTTTTTTGACGACTCATGAAGCTGTGACTTGTCGTTGTAGGAACGTGTGAGCATTTCTTTTCTCAGCCCCAGTCCCGGGAAGAAGGGAAGAGGGAAAGGGAAAGGGAAGACAAAAGGGGTGGGGGAAGATAAAGGGGTGAGTAGAAAGCCTTCAGAATTAGGGTTTACCAGCGGATCTAGAAGAATAAAACAGGTATTTTCTCTCTCTCTCTCTCTGAAACTCATAAAGGGGTAGACGCGAAAGCAGATTAAAACCATATGAACTGGGATAAATCCCTACCGATCAGAGGATGTAATCTCCTTTGATTCCACCAGATCTATTTCCCAACAGGAACATATCCCGATTTATTCTCTCCTCTACCCCCCTCCCCGCTTCCAAAGCTACAATTTGTGGGCTCTGTCCCCCGCCCCTTCTTCCCACCAACTCCATCGAAACATACTCGCACGCGGGGGGAGGGGAAGCCGGGGGCGGGTGTCCAGCGCAGCTCTTACCTGGGTCGCTTTCAGATCTCGTGGTGCCTTTCCAAAATAGGCTGCATTTTAATTATTCCCGGATGCAGCCTCTCCTCCTAATTACCCTTGTACCTGTTCCGAGTGCGTCGGCTGGAGAATTTTTTTACTTAAAACTAGTCGGCTCTTGGAAAATCCAACGCGGCGTCGATTTGAGTAAGAAATCTCAGCTGCTGCTCAATGGAGCAGATGAACAGAAACCACGTTAAAAAAGTTGCGGCCAACAATAGCCAGATCGCAGTAAACAAACGGCTCGAAAAAATGCTGAAGTTTAGCAGCCGGGTGAAGTTTAATTCACGCCATGTGCTGACCAGAGAAAAGTCCTAGATGCGAAAAGTAGAGGTACACGCTACAGGATTTTTACTTCGAAAATCATGGCTGCTTTAGCGTTGGAAAAAAGAGCAAAGATGAGCGTGTTCGTTTTATTCATATGTCAACCAAATGTGTTTCCCTTTCTTTTTCTTTTTCCTTTCTTTCTCCCCCCCCCCCTTTTTAAGGGGGAGGGGGGAGAAAGAGGTGTTAGGGAAGAGAAAGCGAAGATTCCTCTTTATTTATTTGGCAATCTGTTTAGGGTGGGTGGGACAGTAGTGCATGAGGCTATGCACCCACTTGAGTTATAGGGGTCGCTGGTAGCGACCTCTATGTTGAGGTTAGCTAGCGCTCTCTATATGAGACCCGTCTTGTCAATGGCTTACACTGTAGGTATGCTTCCACGCGGTGCACGTTTAGAAACGTGCTAGTGCGCGCTCCCAAAATAAGCCCCCGTTCTTCCAACAGCAGAGATGTCAGATTGCTTCATGTTCTGACATAGTGGTCCTCTAATTTCAGGCTAACGGGGATTGACACCATGTGTGTCACCAAGCAGCACAAGGTTGAAAGCCCCAGCAGATTCTGCTGAACTCGCCAAAGGCACATGTCTTTCCCCTACTTTGTTTTCTTGTGGCTATTTACTCTTTCGGTCGACGAGAGGGGACTAGGCGGGGAGCTGACAGTCTCTTCCAGCAAGTCTGGTAAAGGATTCAGAGCAGCCGGGTCTCCTGGGGATTTTCTTATCGATTCCTTTCTCTGATCGCTGCTGCTGCTAATGCTCTTAGTTATAAGGAGGTGCTTTCTTCACCGAGAAAGGGCCTTTAGAAAACAGCACAAATAAAAATGTGATTAGCCAGGGGTATTTCCCAGAGAAGGGAGCAATGAAATGAACATATGTGGCTGCAACATTTTAGGGTAGGGGCTTGCCTTGAGCACATTCAACATCCGAGTGAATAGATCGTTGTAGGGCTGACTAAAATCAGTGTTTGCGATGGTTGCGTTATATTTTCAAAGCAGCTGTGGACACCCCAACATCTTTCCTACAGCCATGTCTCACTCCAACAATACCGGACAACCAACTTTTGGGTCCATGTGCTCACAACAGTGGCACATATACCGAAACTGACACCATTGCCACATGAAACAGAAATTTCCCTCTGATTGCGCTTCATCTCCCCTCCTTTCTCTCTGCGTTCCTATAACTAAATAGCGGTCTATAAAGAACAATAGTTTCTGTTTAAGTGCATTTGAAAACCTCTGGGTCAAAAAGGCTGTAACCAAGATCTTGCGGGACAGAAGTTTCAAGTGATTTGCAGAAGCGCTGAACCTTCTTTACGCCCTTCAGTGCTACAGGAAGGACGATGAGGGGAAGCAATTATTGCTGCGGGCTCGCACACAGTTGAAGCATATTACAACGGGAGAGCCTGGCACTTTATAATGATTAGGAAAAGGCGAAAGAGATATGCAACAATGAAAGGGGAAGGAGAGAAAGGAAAGAGGATAAGAAGGCGGCATAGGAGAAAGTACATATATTGGCACAAAAGCAGGAAAAGGAGGAGAGAAAAACCCAAACAGAGAAAAAGTAGAAAGGGATGGAGGGGGAATGAGAGGACAGAGCAGCGAGTGCAGTCGTCCCCTCTGTACCTGCGCCTGGACCACAGACAGAACTACATTTCCCAAGAGCCCCTCTTCCTACAAAACCTGCCCCTCCCCATCCTCGATTCCCGGTTGGTTACTGCCTTCGGTTTCCTTTTTCCGTCATTCTCTCATTGGCTCCTCAGGTTGTCACTCTCAGTGGAAGGCGGAACGCGGCGTGTTGGATGGGGAGTCCGGAAGCGGCGCTGGCAGGAGGGTGCATGAAGGCGCTAAGGGCCAATAGAGACCTGCCCGGCCGCCTGCTTCCGCTGCGGGGGGCTGCGGTGTCGGCGTCGCTCGCCGCCCTGGCCGAGAGGTGAGGAGCCGGGTTCCTCCGCTGGGGCGGCCTGGAGCCGGGCGCCTCTTGGTGCCGAGGCTCATTTTTCGGGGCTCCCGGGCTCTGGCGTGGGGGGGGCGGGAGGTGACCCGGCTCCAGGGCAGCCCCTGGTCCGTCACCCCTTGCCTGGTGCCGGAGCGCCACAGGGGAGTGCGCGTTGCCCCTGCTGGGGATGGAGGGAGCTGCTCGCGGATCCCCTGGGATTTCCCCGCGAGCCTGCCCCCTAAGTTGTCCTTGCAGCCCCCAGTGTCTCGCCCCGGCGCGCTGGCTTTTGTTAGACCCGGTCCTGTGCGTACCCAGGTACAAAACGGACGTAGTGGGTTTTTCAAATTTCACCTCTAATTGCATCGGGGCAGGGAAGAGATCAGCCCTTGGGATTAGCAGCCAGTTTGGGGCTAACCATAGCTCCGGGGTGCTACTCACTTTGCGGCTCTCCTTATTAACTAATAACTTAAACCTACATCTGTTAAAGCTTCCAAATTCCTGTGCGGACAATCTTTGTCGTGGAGGAATTAAGTCACATCTGTTGCCGTCTTTGTGCTTGTGCTCAATTTTCTAGTTGGCAAGAGCAAATAAAAGAGGTTATTTGTATTATGTTTTGTAATAATTCATGGAATTTATAAAAAAATGTCATTGAAATCTTGATGAGATGATATGCTTCTGGAATCAAAGCTGCAAAGACTGGTATTTCTCTTCCACTTATCTGATAAGTATATAATGAGGCTTTAGGTTGGCTCTCCCAGCCCCTTTTGTCTTGTTTCTTGATCATTATTATTTTTTAAGGAAGTTGAACTATGCATGTTTTCCTTTAAAAAATCATGTGGGTTTTGCCTGTAGTAACCATAAAGGTTTGTTAAATCCAGGTTCGTACACATTCTTACATACTCAATCCACACAGGTGTGCACTTTGATCAGTTTTCAGCTGCAGAGTCACTGGTATTTGTCACACTGGGTTAATTTTAGCTATCGTTCTAAAGTACTCTGTTTTTCCTCCCCTTTGGAAAGAGCTTCTATCATAATCCTCTGACAATACCTCTTGTTCAACGAGTAAGATATCATCTGGTAAAGTTTATGTGTTTAACATTCAGTTTATATGTGAGTAGAATAAGTAACCCATTCTATCTTACCAATTTATTTGTAGAGCGAAGCAGAAGTTTTAACTGCCTTCTTTCCTGTGTAACTGCCTTTTTGAGGAGGAGGAGGAGGTAAGGTTAATGTCATGTAAAATTATCCTCTTAATTTTTGACGGTCTGCTAAAGAAACATTTTTTTCTGAATTGTGCTGAGTTTATGCACAATTTCATGTACTGCAGTATATTACCAGGCTTGATTAATGAAATGTAGCAAGAGAGGGCTTATGCCATCATGAACGTGTCTATCAAACAGACATCCTTACCACATTATTCCACTATTGTATTCCTTGCAGTTCTAAAGGAGCTGGAGATAATTCTTCAAGATATTGGAACATTTAGTTTATGGTTCTATTGCTGTGGTTGTCACCTTCACTTTATGTCATATATGAGACTCATTTCTTGAGGATGTCTCTATTTTCTGCTTTATTTGCACATTGATAGCTCTACTGATTTCTAGTCACTTTTCTATGATAGACGTATATTCAAATGGGAAAGCCTAAGATTAATCTGCTTTACAGGACTGTTCAGCTCTTTGATTCAGGGAAATAGGAAGTTGATTCTAAGGCTTTTTTGTTGTTGTTTTAATGGTTATATTAACAAACATTGGATTAACTTTCCCTTAACAGTCTTGATGATGCATATGCTTCCTCTTTAACAGCTTTTGGATTTATGGGACATTTCTTATTATCAAGAGTTTGCTTTTTTAAAAAAAATGTCAGCAAAGCTGTTTTAATGCAATTTTACTTCTTTAAAATCTTGTATCTTTCTTGAAACCACACTGTCAACTGTCCTTCTGTTATATTATGATTTAAATCTTAGTTACTGATGGGTAGGATTTACAGGCTTAGTCTGCATCTTCATTTTATTTAAATTAAGAATTTAAAACTGCCTTTACAGAGAAAAATGAATCTGCACTTTTTGTATGTCATGTGGTCTGAAGAACTGATGCTGCAAATCTTTATAAACAATCCTTGCTTTCCTTCATGGTCCTGTTGACTCCAACGGGATTGGTGGCATGCATGAGGACTTGGAAGATCAGACCTGAAATGACTGCATAGAATTTTGTAACACAAATGTAGCAGCAGTTGAATCTACATATGTTTCTATAGTGTGGTTTCATTTGACCAACTTCATTTAAAATGTGCAAACATATGGTGCACTTTATAAGGCAGTAAATAAAGCAAAGTTTAGGAATGTGTAACAGGAACTAGCTGTTCTTTTCCTAGAGCAGGGAAAATATTTTGAATAGATACTTCAGAACCATAGCACTAATAGTTATAAATAGATATGCTGTACTCTGATTTTTTTTAGTGTCTGACAGTAAAAACAGGTATCTTGGATGGTTACTAATAGTTGTTTTCAGTGCGAAGTCCAGCACTCTTATTTCTGTTACTATCTTTAAAGATTTAATCATTCGTGTGTGTGTGTGAGAGAGAGAGAGAGATCTAAAACTAGTGTGAGGAATGGCAACAGATTGGTTCTGTCATGATTTTGTTGTTTTTTGAGTGTGCTTAAAAGATTGATTGATAAAGCTGTCTTGCCAAAGAATGCCAACACAGGTGTTCATCATTATCTTAATTAAGTTCCTGAGAAAATGTCATCTTTTGGCATAAATTATGAAAGGAGGTGTAATTCTTATTTTTTTGGTGGGAGTAGAGGAAAAGGAAGATTCCAATGTTTATAAACCTTTTCTGATATTTTTCTGCCAGATGATTTGACATTAGGTGTTTACTAACCGACTACAAAATAAAATCTTGATGTGCACATTGTTATTTAGAGGATATAACTATAGAACCTCAAAGGGGGAGAAGGTTTTTTACAAGCATATTTGCTTAGAGAATCTAAACTTCAAAATGTAATAAGCAAGAATATACTAAAAATTGATTTATCTGGGTGAGAGAGGATAGAAGAGAGGAAAAAGTCGCTTAGCATGTTTGTTTAAAATAATGTATTGAGACTTTCAGCGGTTACCCCTGCCTTTTGGAAAGAAGTTGAATTGCTATGGTTATAAAATGTTTGTTTAAAAACAGACATAAAGGGAGGAGAGGAAGAGACAGGAAAAACCTATCATTATCACTTTCAAAATTCCATGGAAATTAAATTGATTAGTGCAGAAAAATTGGAAATTATGTTCTGCTACTTTAAATCAATGTTATTAGCTGAGCAATAACCAAAATAATGCACCCAAAACATTGATAGTTGCAGCACTTGCTCTTGATAACTATTGACTTCCAAATGATAACTTATATAAGTAAGACTTGTAGCGTTTGTATTTAAGACAGGAACTATTCATGTTTAATGGTTGTTTTATACATAAGAGTTCTATAGGATGCGTCCTTAACTCCTTCAATATTATTCTTCCTGAAATAACTAGGTCTGAAAATCCACTTTTTACTCTTACATTTCCATGATTATAAGCAACAACAGAGGGAGTTAAACTCATAGGCACACAGATGGAAGCCCTATGGGTTTTTGGCTGCCTTATGCCTAAACTTCAGGTAGTATGTAGTTCACAATGTCTTTTTTCTCCCCATCAGCAGTCTTTAACATTCCTTTTTTTGTCTCATACAAAATATTATATAGTGATTAACTCATAAGCTCTCTTTTTACGGTGTATAAGGGTGTGTCTAGACTACAGGGTTTTGTCGACAAAAGTGGACTTTTGTCAACAAAACTACACTGCCGCTGAGTTCTGTCAACAGAACTCAGCAGTTTTGTCGACGGCAGTAAACCTCGTTCTATGAGGAATAACACCTTTTGTCGACAGAGTTCTGTTGACAGAAGGCGTTATTGCATTTATACTGTCCTTTGCATCTACACTCTCATGTCGACAAAGCGGCTTGCTTTGTCGACAGAACTGGGTGTAGTCTAGACGCTCTTTATCGACAGAAACTTTGTCGACAGATACTGTCGACAAAACTTCTGTTGACAAAAGCCTGTAGTCTAGACGTACCCCTAAGGGCAAACAAGCCGCAAACTTATTTTTTATTTGGGGGCTAAAATTGTATTTATATAACCAGAAATATCTTGATGTCATGAGTGAACTTGAAACTATTGGTTTTCTTGTATGTACACATAATTAACATAAATAGTGCTTTCTGCTTAAATTTTACTTGCTATATGCAGCATTAATATGTCTTGAGAGAGTTTCCTTTCCATATGTGCATTTAATTTTTGAGTGCAGTGCATATATAGAGAGAACTTCCCCCTAAGGGTAATGTTAAAAATGAGTGAAAGTTTTTGACTTTTTCAGTAATTAGGTTTCTGCACTTAGACTGAGCCCTAATCTAATTTCAGTTCAGCTCACAGTTTGAAAGAGGATGCACAATGCTGTTGTCTAGTGTTTGTGGCCAAAATTCAAAGGATAGCTGAGCACCTGTGACCTGTATTGATTCTTGTGACTCTTAGCATGAATCACAGATACTCAATATCTCTCAGGATTGGGACAGGATTTTCTCTCCAAGTTTTTAAAGAGATTGATCTTAATAACAATGTAATATTTAGGAGTTGTATTTTATTTTCATCCGTGATTTGATTCCATAATTATTTACCTTATTTATTTACCGAGTCAAAAACTTTCACATGTGTTTAACATTACAGTTAGGGAAATGTCCATATATACACTGAACTCAACAAAAGCTAACTGCATATAGGGGAAGGAAAATCTCTCAAGATGTTTGTGTTGAAGGTCAATTGTATCTCTTGCTTAGGAACTTGAGGGAGGCATTATTAGCTTCATATCAGAATAGTTCTTTTTATCATCTGATACTTCAATTTAAAAAAAATAAGGAATAATTTCTAGTTTCTAATCTGTAATGTGATTGATGACTATCACCTCTTGCTATTGTCTCCTGCACGTAGTCATCAATCACCTCTTGCTATTGTCTCCTGCACGTTAATTGTGATGTGTGTTCATCTGCTATCTTCATTTGTTGCTATAATAATTATTGTCTTACAAAGAAAAGCTAGCTAAGTGACTCATGCAATGGTAACTATAATAGATCCAAGTATGAATTTCTCTTTTCTCCATAAAAAGAGTACAGCTGATGATTCTCACTCTTTCTGATCCTCTTCCACACTAAAGCAGTTAATTTTTCTTCTTCTTTACTCCTTCTCTCAAATGTAATATTGAACTTCTCCCATTGATACGTAGGTATTTCCTACAGTGTTTGTAAGCATTTCTGTATCAGACCATGAATCCCGAGGTTACTTTTTTGAAGTATTCTCTCTAGCCTTCATGCTGTATTTTTATAGACTAACACACAGTGTCGTATTTGGATATTCTGTTTCTAGTTACACGTACTGTGTTTAGTTTCCAGATATCTTCTTTCATATCCTATAACAAAGTAGCAAGATGTGGATTGCTGTGTGCAGGCCTGTAACAGTTACAGAAATAGCAGCTACTGTAAAGCCAAGAACTAACATTTTAGATAGCACAACAAATAAAATGGGGCTGTGACTTTTGCCATATTGAAGTTGCATTAAATAGTGCTACAGTGCTGTTTATTACTGGTTTCAATGGATCATTTGCAGCTATAAAACTTGCTTGAAGTTTTTATTAAGAATGCTGTCATTCTTTTAAAAAAAAGTCTAGCACTTTTTTATAATAATAGTAGAGGAATTACTTTTGTTTATGCTGACTTCCTGCTTCTTACAGGGAAGAACCTTTTTCTCTGGGATGCTGTTTACTTTAGATGACTTGTGAGTTTCTATGGAAAGAGACAGCTCATTCAGTTTGAGAGTTTGAAATCTACTTTCTTATCCATGGATAGCTCAACAGCTAGCTCAGTTTAAATACTTTAAAGCAAGTTCAGACACCTTTTGTGGTATAACTTGTACCATTAGCTCTTTGATTAAACCTTAAAAACCACCAGTATACTTATAAATGTGGGATTACAAAGCCTTCTAGGGCTATGTCTACACTGGCGGCTTCTTGCACAAGAATATCTTGCACAAGGGTTCTTGTGCTAGAAGTCTTGAGCAAGAACACACCCACACTGCTATGTGCGAGCTGTGCTTTTGCGCAAGAGAGCCCATGGCAGTGCGGATGCTCTCTGGTGCAAGAAAGCTCTGATGGACATTTTAGCCATAGGGCTTTTTTGCACAAGAAATCCCTGCCTAGCGTCCACACTGCTCTCTTGCGCAAGAGCTCCTGTGCAAGAGGGCCTACACCTGTTAAAAAAAGAGCATAGCTCTTATGCAAGAAGCCCTCTCTTACCATGCTGTACTGTAAATTTCCTTGCGCAAGAGCGGGTGGGCAGTGTGGACACTCTGCGGATTCTTGCGCAAGAACGACCATACTTGCGCAAGAAGCCGCTAATGTAGTCATAGCCTAGGAGTTTCCAAACTGTCTGTTTTGGGAGACATCTTTGAGAGACTGTCAGGTAGCTAACTGGGGACTGTGCATTCTATTTCTGGCTCCACCATTGACACATCTCTTGATTTAATATTTTTATCCCAGTTTTATCTATCAGGAATGTTCTAAAGTTCTTTAAAATGTTCAAACCAAAGTTGCCCCCCCTATAGAAATGCATACAATTTGTTAGGCTACCTATTTTTACTGAGCAAATGCTATATTTTTGGCTATTACTAATCAAGCAAGATGTAAGTATATGAATACAAGTTTCACACCAAAATAGGTGGTTTGTTCCTCACCTCTGTACGTATCACATGCATATTGTGGTGTTTAACATGGGATGCTCTTTTCTATATTCACTAACGAAATGTAGCTGTATCTTCCCCAGTACATTTTTGGATGTGAAAGCAAAACAGATAAAAGGAAAGTAGGCGAAGAGACTGTATTTTCCACACACATGTATTACCAAGTGAAATAGTGTTGTTTTAATGGGCAACAAGGTTGTTCCTTCTCCCCACCTCCCAAAACAAAGCCCTGTTCTTCAGCTTGGTTGAGGGCAGACAAAAGTAAAAGCAGCAAGATCCCCAACAAGAAAGTTGACTCCAGCAGTCCAGCCTACCAAAGGTGTCTGAATATAGGAAGAGGCCCCACGAAAAGCCAGAATGTGTGTGCTTACTTTGCAGCTGTCTTTAATCCTATTAAATCTTATTTAAAAATCATGGTAAGTGTTTTGTTTTGTGCACATAATATTTGCATATGTCAGATTTGTCCATCACACTGGTACATTTTGTTTTTTGTTTCTTTGGTGCTGGGTTGTCTTTTACTTTCATGTAATACAAAATTAATGTCTTCTAATGCAGAAAGTTTGAGTTAATTGATGGGATTTGCATTAATAGTGAGATGTACAGAGGTTAACTTTTTTCTATAAGGTAACAACTTCATTTTTCTTTTTCAGACCAGCAGAGTGAGGCTGATCTGAGAGACTGAAGAAATTGTTTTGGAGGGAGTTAGTCAAGAGATGTATTCTTCACTCCCAAGTGCCTGGGAGATTTTGTAAGATTCATTAGGTATGGTATTGCTAACATGAATATCTTTAGACCTCTTTTACTACATAAGTATGATGGTAATGCACTATCCATAATATTCATGGAGCAGGTGAAGTTGCATTTAAAAGTGCCTTTGTACTGATATCCATGATGTTTGAAAATCGGCACTATAAGCAAAATAAACTAAAACATTTGGATACGGAGGGGAAAAAACTAATCTGAATAAAAGTGGTGTTTTCTCTTTTAGATTCTTCCATCAGTGCTATTTTCTCCCTGTGCCAAGGGGAGATGCTAAGAAAATGATTAGAGGATTCTAAAAATGGAGGTAATTATAAAATGACTTCATTTTTTCCTCCTTCCTTCCTCCTCTTCCCCCAAGAAATCCCAAGCCTTTGC